TAAACTTAGGCATTCTAGTACTTTTATCTATCTTACTTTACCGTTTTAGATTGATTTCGTATTATTTCCTTTTTTAGGCACTTATCCTGAAAATAAGCTAACTCAGCCAAATAAGAGCTTAATTGAAGCAATTCTGGGATTAATCAAAGAAATGAGCAAAGTAGAGAAAGAAGGAAGCAAATGAAGCCAAAGATGGCAAGCAGCAAAGTTTGATCGATCCAAGTTCATGTTTCGATCGATCGAATAATGATCGATCTCAGCACTTCAAAATAGATCCAAGCCTTGACCCAAAAGCATAAAGTTCCAAAAGTTCGATCGATCCAACACCATCCTTCGATCGATCGAACACTTTTGTCTTTATTCAAATGATTGATCCTATCCACAGCTGTACCACCCACTAACCACTTTTGTCCTTTTCCCATTTATATCTCTCATAAATATCTCGGATTTGTTTTTTTCCAAAAAGCTCAGCCAGTTGGATCGATCCAGCCTAAGTTCGATCGATCTCACTTACCTTCGATCGATCCAAGTTCGAGGTTCGATTGATCGAACTTCCTCCAGTGCGAAAAAAGTTAAAATTCCATCTCATTGAAAATTGTCCTTTATCCAATCATTAGGGAATATTGTGTGCACGACCCCTGCTCATTTTGGGTGTCATTTTGACCTACCTATATAAGGATAAGGATTGCTTTTTCAAGGGGGGGCCAATATTATTTTCATATCATCTCTTGGAGAGGAAACTTAGAGGAAGAGGAGGCTAGAGACACCATTGGAGACTCTTCAGCAACAAGGAGCATATTTCAACCATGGAATTAGCCCTTGAGGGTTGGGGCATCATCACCATGAGTGGCTAAACATCCTCTTGGGGCTAGAGTTAGCCCCAAGCATGCTTTTTATATCTTAATCTTGTGTATTATTGAGGGATTAGTGTTGTAATTGATGTTTTGACATTTTGATATATATTTAGATCTTGTTTATTCAATGATTTATGTGGTTTAATGCTTCCAATTGGTCATTTCATTATATCCATATGTCTATGTATGCTAGAATAGATGTTCATGTGTTTACCTCTAGATTTTGTGTTATTGATGCATGTCTATGTGTATTGATGCTATAGATTTGGAGATTATCAAAACATTGTGCTTAAAAGAATGCTTTTGTGATTCTCTTAATGGTTCATGCTTATCTCTTGATGGATTGTGCCTTTCCTTTAGTTTATTTTCATGCTAGTAGTGTAGATGTAGTGTAGTGTTAAATGGGAGGACAATCTATGCCTGTTGTTTGATGATCCAAGCTTTTGAATGCGATTAGCATATGTCTCTATCCTTGTGTTGTATTTGGATTGTGAGCTTAATGAAAGGATTAATGACTTATTTTGATCTATTGTGCCTTTCACATGTTATTTAGACAATATATGCTTCATTGCTTCGTTATATTGTGCCGTTCACATGATGTTTAGACAATACATGCTTAACTAGTCATCCTTGCTTGTTGAATCAACCAAATACACACACACCAATATTGCAACCCACTATTTGCCCTCATTAATCACTTGTCAATGATATAGAAATGCATTGCTTGGTGGTGATCTCTAAACCCCAACATCCCTCTCTCTCTTTCTCTTACTTACTCTCAATTGCACTCTTTTGCTATTACTTAGTTTAATTTAGTTGCTCCTTAATCAACCAACCAATCAATTGTTTGATCACTCGACCTACTAGCCCTAATTGTGATTCGACGACATTGCTTAATCCCCATAATCCCTTGGGACGATCCCTTCTCACTCATACTACATAGTATAATTGTTAAGCGATTTATAAATTTAACTATGATGCCCACTTGACACTAATTTCCAAACTTAAGGTGTTGTGCATTATTTTGTGCACACCTAGGGTCGAGACACCAAGATATCTAGGGTGTAACTGTGTATCGGGTCATTGTATGGATTGTAGTTAGAATAGAACTTGTTCGTGGGCCTGACCCACTCTTATATTTTTCAGGTATCGGACGGTTCCAGTCTTAGGCCTGATCATGCTGAGCAGAGACTATCATTCACTCTACCAATGACGTAGGATTTCATTCCATGGTTTAGTTTTGGTTTTATTTTTAGTTGTTTACTTTTCAATTGGGTTTTTATTTAGGGGTCCACTAGATGGATTCCCGAGTTGTACTCTTAGAGGTTTTGGAGAGTTGGATTTTAAGTATTAATTTTTAAAGGATTATATTTTAGAATTTCTTTCAGCTTCATTATTTATTTCTTAAATCTTTTTATATTCTGTGTTCATTTTAAAATATTAATTGTTTGATATTCCCTCGGGTTTGGGCTTGGGCCTGATCAACTCGTGTCTCGGATTTGAAGGGTATCACAGAGAGTCACACTGATCTCCCACAAAACAGAAGCAATCCCCATCCGGGGTACAAACTGACACTCTTCCCCTGAAAAAGTCAATAATAGGTCTGAAGGACGACAACTAGTCCATCCCAAGAATGACTTCAAACCCTGTCATCTCGAGAAGGATGAGATCGAATTCCAGTGCCCGTCCGACAATGGTAATACAACAACCCCGACAAACTCTACTAAGAGTAACTGAACCCCCGACAAGCGTGTCAATGCAAAATGGTCTGTCTAACTGACTGACCTCCAATCCCAATGCCCGTGCAAATGTTGAAACAATGAATGAATAGAAAGCACCAGAATAAAACAACACTCTGACCCATGAATGGGACACAAGGAATATACCCCTGACAACTGAAGGACTGGATGATGGCTCGGCTAGAGTGACTGCATACACACGACCTTGGGTCCTCTGCTCCTGAGAATCACCGGCCTGATAACCAGACTGCTGAGTAGGAACACTAGACGGGGCTCCCCTGCCTGGTCGAGAACTCTGAGCTGTCATAGCTAGTTGAGCTGGCTGACGTGGTGGTGGCAGTTGAAACCCTGACTGAACTGTGGCAGACTGCATTTGCCTCTGTTGTGAACCTCCACCCCTGCCAGAACCACTGCCCCGCTGTGGACAATCCCTCACCATATGGCCTGCTGGCCATACCCAAAACATTCACCTGATGCCATTTGAACCTGAGTGCATTGGGACTTGTGGTGCCCCGATTGCCCACACCTGAAACAAACCACCTGAGCCTGAGTGCACTGGGACTTGTAATGTCCCGGCTGCCTACATATGAATAAGTAATATTCGGTCTCACCTAATGAACATTGAGGCTACAGGTGTAGATCTGGCTAACTGTTGTCCCCTAAACCCTGATGGTTCATTCTTTTGCATTTTTTGTGACTGACCCTCGGAAGTAGTGATGTATATTTTTATTTATCAATAATAAAATACCACTCGCAATAGAACAAATCCTTGTAGGATAGGGCTATGTTGAGGGTGTCGAAACTTAAGGACTGTGGTGGTTTATCGAGTTTTTAATTAATATTATTTTAATTTAGAAAGATGATTTGATTTGTTGTGTTGTGGTGCAATTCAATAACATAAATAGAAAATAAATAAAATGAAATGATTGAAATCAAGAGAAAAAATATTTAGAGATTGATTTCATCACGAACCTCATACTATGGTCAACTGTTCAACCTTAGGATTTCAATAATTATGTATCACATGGAATTAAACTCAATAACATTCGATTAATTCAGATTTAAAGAAAGATGTTTCATGAATTTCAGTTAATAATAACCTATCTTCGGTTAGCACGAATTATCTACCTATCTATTTCTAACTAATTTTGCAGTATAACTTGTCTTCCTTAGGCATAGACTATGAAAACATTCATTCATGAAAAATGTTTGAACACCATTGTATGATTTCCATTCTTATGTCCGATAGGCCTCCACCAAATATCGTCTAATAAGAATGGGTTGAATATAATTCAAGATATTAATCATTCAAAAACTATTTAATAATTAAAATCTAATTGAATTAAGTCAATTGCCCGAAATCATGTAATCAAAATACATAATATATTAAATTCCCAAAGTACAAAATAATCAAACCATAGTATTCGGATTTGGGCTACGTCAATACCCTAAGAGAGGAATTAGCTACTTATGACGACACAAGATATCATCTGTGTTATTGTAGTCTTTATCGCCATGAACTGTCAAAACTCCTTTTGGATCTTCTTCTTCAAAACCCTAAAAGTCATCGTGAGAGATAGATATGAGAGACTTGATGATGGGATTGTGCCTCTTTTTATAGAAAAATTAATTTCTAATAAGGGTTGGATGGGTTTTTAGGTCTTCTATGGTAATCTGGGCCTAACTAGGATGAATTATGACTGAATTAGAACAAATCCCGCAACTTAAAAATCTAACTTAACAGCAAAGCTCAAGCTTTTTAGCTTCAGGGCTCGAGCTTTAGGTACAGGGCTTGAGCTTTGGGTACAGTGCTCGATCCCTACTTCTATACTTGACTAATTTTCTTCAAATATTTTCCGAAGCATCTTTTTCTTCAACACCTAAAATATTTTGGGTTTTTCCTTTTAATAGTGGTCGATCCCCCTTTCATGGTGCTCAATCCTTAACTTTTTGGTCTCAACTCAAGCTTTTTGGAGCAAAAGCTCGAGCTTTAGGTACAGGGCTCGAACTTTCAAGAATTGGGCTCGAGCTCATGTAATTTTGACCCATTTAGGGTGCGAATCTCGAGATGGCTATTAGAGACAAAATATCGGGCTTCAAGTCTTATTTCCAGATTAGCTAAGTTTGCTTAATTTGGAGTTTCGAGTGAAAAGTTATGCCTAAAATACTGAAGTAGGTCCAGAATTCTCATCATTTTTACTCCAAGCTAGCTTTAGATGACCGACAACGGCTCTATAAGCTTCAATATCAGTCTTTTCATCATAAAATCACGGTTTTAACTTGTTCTTTGGGAAAGTACCTACAAACACGAAATAAACATAAATCAGTCTAAAACTGGATAGAAGTATTAGTTAAAGTCTTAACATACGTATATTTAGGGGCTAGAATATGCAATATTTAGCGCTCATCAAATAGCACCCATGCTCCTGCTGTGCTTGTAGGACTCTTTAATAGCCTTTCTGTCCTTACTTTTAGCCTCAACCACTAAGGCTTTTCTCATAGCTTTTGCATATTCGATCAATTTTGCGACGGTCACAATTGGCCTAATAGAGAAATCAAGGCCTTCAATAAATTTCTCTGTCTTACCTTCCTCATTTTTAGCAATCTCTGGCATAAACCTCAAAAGAAATGTGAACTTATTCTCATACTCTGTGACTGTCATATTTCCTTGCTTTAAGCCATCAAACTCTTTCTTCAACTTTCTTTTTTTAGGCACCAGAAAATACTTCTCATAGAAAAGTTTCTTGAAAGCATCATATGTTATGGTATCCACATTATGGGTATGAGACATGGTTGTCCACCAAATCTCTGCATCCCCAGTAAAATTGTAGGTTACCAAAATAATCTTCAACCTGTCTAATGCTAGATTCATAGCATTAAGGTGCTTCTTCACCCTATCCATAAAACTGTCCACAACAAGCGGATCTGGGCCACCCTCAAATAGAGTTGGCATCAACTTTACAAACTTTGCAATGTGATCAAGAGTTTGTTCTGACTCACTTTTCTCTGGAGGTGGTGCCGGTGGTGGCATAACTTATAATGAAGATGCCATTGTAATCCAGAATGCATCCTGAAAGACCTCCTGTACAGCCAACCTAAACTGCTCCTCACTTATTTGAGGAGGTGGCTTGACGGTTCCCCTTGCTTGTCCCGCTCTCAGTGGGATCAAATCCCATAACAACACATCTTCCTCAACCTGCTCTTGATCCCTCTTCGTGGGATTGGAGCTAGAGCTCTCCCCTGGATCCCTTCTCTGTGGCATGACGTTATAAGAAAAAGGAAATGAGTCAAAACGATGACACTAAAATACGCACGAGAATGGGGAGTCCTCACACGAATGACTTGACAAGAATGGAAACACATAAACACCTTCCATACTCCCGAAATACGCAACTAATGATAAACATGACCATGATAATAATATACATCAACTTTAAACATTTAGCACGTAATCACATAAGCAGTCAAGGAATTAAGCAGTTAGACATGCTTTTTAAACAATTAAACACCTTAACACATAAGCGGATAAACATGCAATTCAATTTCTTATACAGTCCTAGGTAGGCTTTTACCCGTCGTCCTAATGGTATTCGAACCATTGCTCTGATACCAATTTTGTAACGACCTAAAAAGATACCCAAATAATAATAATAATCATAATAAAATATAAAATTTTTGTATGACCTCTACAGAAAAGTCCCTTTATAACCTGTTGAAATACATAAAAATGCAATGGCCTCACTTGGCCTTAAAACTAATCTATCCTGTCCCAACGCATAATGCAAATAATATGTCACATTCCTAAAATGATTACATACATAAAATAAGAGTCCCGTTTCTCCATCTCATCCAAATATGGAGACACCAGTCCCCTACCTAGTCCCATAATTCTTTATAAAGAACGCATTTTAATTACATCAAGTTACAGTCCATGAAATATAGCTAAAATTAAAAGTCCATAACTTACAACATCATACAAATTAAACTAAAGTTTTACTAAATAGTCAAGATTACATTTACAAAATATTAAAGTTCTAATACAAAAGATAACAAAATATAGATCTCCAATCTCGTCTAAACTTGTGTTGGATCGTCGTTCGCCACCTCTTTCTCGTATCCTGAAAATATTAAAGTAATGATTTGAGCCAACCGCTCAGTAGGAAGTATCTAAGACACACCTCTTAATGACCCTGTGAATCCACGCAAAGCATAGGTAAAGAGTAGACGAGATCATGTCATAGGGGAAAGCACATCAACAACCACAACAACAAGTATATACATAAATGTCATCCAATCACAAATGCACCATGTATGCCAATGAAGTGCAATGTCATACCAATGTCGCTCCCCATTTTCCAAAACAATTCCGTTTCACCGTTCTAAATCGTTAATGCAACCCAACTCATAACATCTTTATGGCGCCACGAGGGAATGATTGGCTAGCTATCCCCAACCACATGGCACCTCCATGGCGTCATTTCGAGCCTAGGTAGCTCAACGATGCTAGGGTCTATCCCTAGTTCCCTCTAGATCACATTAACGCCACGGACTACTAGGCACCTCCTAGGCATCCGATTTTCGTAAACAATTTTCAAAACATTTCGCAAAATGATTTTCTTGCTTTTCAAAACATTTTTCCTTTTTTTTTTTATTTTTTATTTTACCAATGATATGCATGAGTGTTCATGCATTTCCAACCATATCAAATATACAATTTCCTTACATTTCATCTACATCATGTTTACATAATTAAGAAACAATTTTCATATTAAATTTCATATAACCAATCATACCTTCATAGCATATAAGCACCTTAGACATGAAATAATTTAAAACTAACATGCTCCTTCATACAAATCAATTAAGTATGTGTATAAACTCAATTAGCACATAAAACATAACCATCATATATAAATACACCTCATAACCATAACAAGATTTACGCAATTAAAGCATGCTAGGGTCAAATTATAAGAAAGTGACTCACTAAAATCAAAGAATGTGTATATTAGAGACCCCTACCTCAATTAGAAGAAAAAGGCCCAAATTGCACCCAATTTTTGAAAATCAGAAATTGCTTCAAACTGAAAATTGCTCCGATCAAAACGGAGTTCTCAACGCGCTCGTTGACTTTGCCTTCAGTGGCAAAGTCTAATTCTTAGTAGTGAAAGAGATATTAAGTTTTGAAATTTCAAAAAGAAAAAAGAAATAGAATTATAGAGGGAGAGAGAGAAGACGCAGCCAAAAGAGAGAAGGAACTGAGGGTCTGTAACGACCCTTGGTCATTATATTGTATAAGTCAAGTGGTGGGTCCCACGGACTCTATAAAATTATTATTATTATTATTATTAGTATTATTATTATTTTAACATAATTATAAATACACTAACCAAGTAATAGCCACCAAATAAATATGTAAACAAATAATCTATGCACAAAATAACAATGCATGAAATGCAATGGACCCGAAAAATAATACCGTGCACCATAAATTCGGTTATGGGTCCCACTTGGGAATTCCCGGCCCGAAAAATGAAAAAATGCCAAAATGGCGACCAATGTATTTCCAAAAGTCCTGAATTCAAGAAAATGTCCTAATCAACACGCTAACACACCCAGCACACCCCACGGTGTCCGGTACGCAAAATGAGAACAGATGAAAATACCCTCGTAAAATAGAAAAATTATAAAAAATGAAAAATGGTGAAAATCATAAACATTACATGAACAATGTGTTAGAGAACTACTTGAAGCCAGGACTTGATCTGGTGTGTTTCTTTGAGCATTATGAGAGGGTTTTGAATGATCGGCGATATGAAGAACTACGTGCAGATTTCAAGATGATGCAAAGTATGTCTGTGCCATTAAATAATGTTGAGATGTTACGTTATAGCGCAGAAATCTATACCCCTGAAGTTTTTGAATTGTTCCAGAACGAGTACATGAGGTTAGGTGACTACAATGCATATAAAGAAAAAAGGCTAACCAAAACATCACTAAATGATGGAGCAATGAGATGAACTTTGTGATTGGACTTCAAATTACCGCAACACAGTGACAGCCCGAAGAAGAAAGTTCCATTTATGTACCAGAATGGACTTCAAATTGCTGTAACCACAATGTCTTTGATTGATACAAATGAATGTTGTCTCGACTTGTTACAATTTTAAATAGCAAGAAGGAAGAATAAAGCCTTTCATATTCGTACTACACATTTCATCGACTTGGTATATCTTTTTTTCTTGCTTATAGTTGCTCCTACTTGAGAGAATAAGAAGTTTATGAAAGGAAAGCTAGTCAGTTCACTACTGTTATCTATAAGCCAGAAAGTGCTTTCACTACACACCTTTTCTGCTCGTTAGTACAGTCCTGAAACTCCAAAATCTCACGGTATTCCTTCAGTGGAGCCGGCTTTATGAAACAGAGACAGAGCCTACATCGACGATCTATTCAAATTTCAAACAAAGGAATAGAGGCTATTGGGATCGATCAAGCTCTGATGTGCCTCATTCATATCAATGAACGATATACCGATAGGGTTTGAGAATGGAGGCAGCTGGGCGAGAGTGGAGGAAGATAGCAGCACGGAGTGGAGGAGGAAAGCTGCGGTAAGGGGTGGAAGAGGAGTTTTAGGGATTGAGATGGAGGTTGGGTAAGAAAATTAGGTTGTGTGGGGAGAGAGAGAGGAGAGGGGGAAGGGTTTCGCCCGTTAGAAATGGGTAATACCCATCTTTTTACTTATTAATTTTTTTGAACATGTGTTCTAATTCCATTGGTCCACCTCACTTGGAGTTGAACTCAACTTCCCATGAGAGGACCAAGTATTGTCCTAATATTATATCGTATGGCTAGTACCTACATCAAATTATTATGTCTTTTGCCTATCCAAACATGACACGAATCTTATTGAATTAAGGCTAAAAAATGAAAATTTTAGATAACACCTTATTTTATCTTTGTAGTATCAAAACACTCATCTATCATAGGGCTATCAACGAGTTGGGTCGAGATTTTTCCAACTTCGACTTGTATCTTAATCGATTAAAATTCAGTTAAATATTTAAATGATATCCAATGATTCCAATCTGAATTCAAATATTAAAATTCAATTATAATTAAAGTAAAATTGATTTTAGTAATTTGATCCAATCAAAACTTGAATATGATGAATTTTTTTGTATACTTGATACTTGTTTCACTGACGATAGTTTATAATACTTGTTTCACTGATTTTAGAAATGGGTAATACCCATCTTTTTACTTATTAATTTTTTTGAACATGTGTTCTAATTCCATTGGTCCACCTCACTTGGAGTTGAACTCAACTTCCCATGAGAGGACCAAGTATTGTCCTAATATTATATCGTATGGCTAGTACCTACATCAAATTATTATGTCTTTTGCCTATCCAAACATGACACGAATCTTATTGAATTAAGGCTAAAAAATGAAAATTTAGATAACACCTTATTTTATCTTTGTAGTATCAAAACACTCATCTATCATAGGGCTATCAACGAGTTGGGTCGAGATTTTTCCAACTTCGACTTGTATCTTAATCGATTAAAATTCAGTTAAATATTTAAATGATATCCAATGATTCCAATCTGAATTCAAATATTAAAATTCAATTATAATTAAAGTAAAATTGATTTTAGTAATTTGATCCAATCAAAACTTGAATATGATGAATTTTTTTGTATACTTGATACTTGTTTCACTGACGATAGTTTATAGTTTTACCAAATATATGTGTATATATATATATATATTTTTTTTCTGTTAGCACAATTTAAGAAAAAACTTCCAAGCTTTGAGAGCAAATTTATCGTCATGTAATTATAATTAATTACTGTATCTATTTTTCTTTGAGGAAGGTGGTATTGGTGGGAGTTCTAAACAATAGTTTCCATAAGCACTAGTAATATAGCATCAAGTCATTCTACTTCTACTCACATGATTCTTATTGTGGTTCTACATCTCACTTCCTTAGCTTTAGATTCTCTGTTATTATATTGCTCTAATGCCATTGTCAGCCAAGACAGTCATTCTGAATACAGGGCTGGTATTATTATTATTATTATTATTATTATTATTGATCTTTGATTTTTTATTTTAGAATGCGATATGGTTTGTATAAGATTTCCCTACTCATCGGTGAGTAAAGACCTACTCACCGTTTATGTGGTTCAATCACAAAGGTACAAATAGTTTGCAATTACAAAACCAGGAAAGTGGTAAATAAGAAAATTACACCGAATTTATTTCAAAAAAAGTTATTGTCCTTATTTATCACTATTTTGATTTTTTAATTGCAAACTATTTATGTGTTTATGATTGGACCACATAAGCGGTGAGCAGAGATGACCTACTCACCGGTGAGTAAGTCTTTTCTGTATAGTTTTCTTAGCTTGAGATTTTCTGTTATTTTATTGATGTAATGCCATTGTCACCCAAGACAGTCATTTTGAATATAGGGCTTGTATTATTATTATTATTTTATTTCATATTTACATTAAAACATATTCACGCATTCACTTTATCCTCACGCATTCACTTTATCCTCAAAAGGATATGTGTTACAAGGAGCCAATTGTCCCACATCGGATCCGAATAGAAAAGTGATTAAGTATAGATGAGTGGGTAGAAAGGCGCAAAAGTGTGAGCTTTTGGATAAATGGGCAAGCGCCCACTCGTTACAGTTGGTATCAGACCCGGACCCAATCCTTGATCCGATGCCACGCCAAGCGTCCGGCCCAGAAGGCGTCCTGGAATTCGGGTAGGCAGATTGGCCCAGCCGCAACGAGGGCGTTGCGAGTTCGGGTGGGGGAGAATGTTACAAGGAGCCATTTGTCCCACATCGGATCCGGATGATTGGGTATAGATGCAGGGGCGGCTCAATACAATATGAGGCCTTAGGCAAAAAAAATAAAGTGGCATTTTAATTAAATCTATTCATATATTTATGCCAGTTAATTATTTGTTTAGTGACTTTTAAAGCTATTACTAAATTTTTTACAAACTCTAGTTTCATCGTTAATTAATTGGATATGTGCTTTCTAATAGTCATATTTAACAATATAAATAAAAATTATAAACAAAATATATAATTTTATGATAACAAAAATTAATAAACTATAAACTAATTTAAGTTATAGAATAATAAAACTGATTTTGAATAATTTGGTCTAAAACTCCAATAAATTCTTTAATAGAATATAAGTATATTCAAAATCTTCTTTTGGAGTGAGGATAAGAGAAGGAAAAGAAAAAAAGAAGAAGATAATATAAGGATAAGGAATAAAAAAATAAAAAAAGAGAAAAGAAAAATTAATAGGAGTTCTAGAAAAATATAGAAGTTTCACCAATTTTCACTTAAATATATATTTAATATTTAATTTGAATGTATGTAATGAGGATAAGAGAGAGAAAAAAAGAAGAAGATAATATAAGGATAGAAATATTTTGCGCACACTGTTAAATTTTGTATTTGTTGAGGTTTAATGATATAAAAAAATAAAATATTTAGGTAAGTTATAATGTATAAAGAAAAAAAAAATGGGGGCCCTCAAAAAAATAAATAATCGAAAATTTTTAAGTCAACTGTCAAATTTCTCTATACGTGGAAGTTTAATAATTAAATAAAATACTATAATTGTTTTAGGAAAGTTATAATATATACAGAAATAAAAAAATTATGGGCCTTCTTATTGGTTGGGGCCTTAGGTAACCGCCTAACTCGCCTAAGACTCAAGCCGGCCCTGTATAAATGGGTGGGTATGCAGCACTACTCAACAGTTTGAGTTTTTGGGTAAATGGGCAAGCGCCCACCCGTAATAATATGGATATTTGATTTTCTACTTTAGAATGCGAAATCACCGCTTATGTGGTCCAATCACATACGCACAAATAGTTCGCAATTACAAAATCAAGAAAGTGGTAAATAAAAAAATTATAGACCAAGAGAGTAGTGGTAAATAAGAAAATCACTGATTTTATAATTACAAACTATTTCTGAGTTTGTGATTGGACCATATAAACAATGAGCAGAGATGACATGAGTAAGCAAGTCTTAATTCTTGTCCATATAGTTTCCATGTCTACCAATATGAAAATCCACATTGTTGTTTTAAATGATTGATATAACATAAAAGAAGAAAATTGAATGGTATAGACCGTGCTCAATAAGTCAAAGTCAAGAATAATGCTAGTATATTATGATCATTTAATAAAATATAATCGGTATTTTGCAAATAAGCTCTATTTGTTTTGGAGAAAAATATTTTTTTCAAAAAGTATATATATATATTTTTATGTAAAATATATATTTTTTTATTTTAAAATTTTGATATTTGGCAATGGTCTAGATCGAAGTTGAAGTCGAGTCCATCAAGTAGAGCGTGTAAAATAATTTGTTGAAAATTGATGAATATGTTAATTTTGTTAAAAGATATATTTTAGTCGTAAATGTAATAGTGAATAGAAGATTCTGACATAGCTCAGGTTTATTCTGATGCGGACCGATCAGAAACGGAGAGGTAGGGCTGGACAAAAAATCAGTGAATCTGTGGATCCGATCTGATCCGTACAGATTGGATCGGATTGCTGAACTTACGGATCGGTGATGGGTTTAACAAATGTGAATCCGTAGTTCACGGATCGGATTACGGATTACCTTGTCAAAAATCTGATCCGATCCGTGGCTAATCTGTGTATATATATATATATATATATATATATATATATATATATATTTATATAAATAAATATTATACAATATAATTAATTATTTATTATTTATTACTTTGGGAGTTGACCAGTGGACCACTGACAGATTTGTAGAGCAAAGAGAAATCAGAAAAACAATTCATTAAGCACACACAGCTATTTAGCTTCATCTTTTCAGTGTTAGAACAAGTCCCCAGGGATTGAATCTGAAATAATCTTTAAGCATCTGGATCTGAAATAAGCATCTGGAGACCACAGTGTTGCTTGGAATTGAACAAGTCCTCTCTTGAGAGGGAGATTACAGTGAACCAAGGTCACATGGCTAGTGAAGAGTCAGTCAAATCGGTTTGAATTTCTTTCGGATTTAGGGTTAGGTTGCGACCGAAGAAATCAGAGACTACCAACAGCTGATTGTTTTTGTTCTCATTGATGATGAATCGATGAGATTGAGAATGATTTGAAGAAGAAAATCAACATGATGGAAAGGTCTGGCTTTCATTTGTTGATGATGATGATGATGAGAGAGAGTCGAAGAAGAAAGAATGACCCTAAGAAGAGATCGGAGAAGAAGAAAATCGGTGGATTAGACGCATGCGAAAAGACTACGTAACCACATGAACCCTAAGAGGAGATTGGAGAAGAAAATGGAGATGGAGATGAAGATGAGATCATCGGATTGGATCCGATCCGATCCGTTATTTCATGGATTCGATCCGATCCGATCCGTAGGCTAACGGATTGGTGACGGATTCAAAATCTCCCAATTCGTTGCAAGCGGATCGGGATTAGAATTTATACCTAATCCGATCCGATCCGATCCGTGGCCAGCCCTACGGAGAAGGGACAATACTGAATTTTTTATAATAATTTTGGAGGAATAAAGGTAATATTTCATTAGTATGTATGATAGAATGAGAAAAATAGTGGGAGTATCTTTTCTTTTCTCCCAGGCCCACTTGTTACTTAGGACAGGTGTCGTTTTTTGTTTGGGACAGTTCAGTGTTTATTTTATATGGCTTCAATTTCAATTGAACGAGCCCTTTTAGTAAGATTTGGAGATGGCGTGGGTTGAAGAAGGATGTGGTGATGGAGGCGTTGTTGTGGGGGACGATGATGGTGATAAACGATCCAAGATTGGCTATCAACTTTTCCCATCATCTTCCTTCCTTGACAATCTACCCCACGAAGTGTTCGATGAAATTCTTCTGAGACTGCCTCTCAAAGATATTCATCGCTGCAAGTGCGTCTCAAAACGTTGGCTTAATTGGATCTCCAGTCCCTATTTTGTTCGATCTTATATCCAATTCGAGACCACCATCAATCCCTCTCCCCCTTTGGCACTCTTTTACCAGTTCGATGCTCATTCACCAAATTCAGTTGATTATAACCCTAACCTTAAACCTAACCCTAACGAACTAGGAATCAGTTTTACATCTGAAATGCCCATTTTTTCCCAATCTCGTGGATTTTCTTTGAATTTCCTTCCCCATCCCAACCCATTATCATCATCGTCAGCAGCAGTAGTTACAGCAGCAGCAGATGATCAACAGCAACAGCCAGCAAGAGGGCTCGGTGATCACCTTCACCTCTTAGCGTCTAACAATGGGTTAGTGTTATGCTCTACAAGTTTGACTTCTCATAGGGTTTACTATGTATGCAACCCCCTCACAATGCAGTGGGTTGAGCTTCCTCCACCACTCACTTTACAAAAAATTTTTCGCTTTGGGTTTACTACTAGAATTCATGTTGAAGATTTCAAAAAAAGTAGCTTCAGGGTGGTGAGAATCTGTAGTGGGAATGAATTAGTATTAGTGCATCGGAACACTCTCGATTTGGAGATATTTTCATCAGAGACGGGAACATGGACAGAGTCTTTTATATCTTGCCCCAACGAGCCCTTTTTTGGTTCGTTTTGTGCAGTGGATTACAAAGGAATGTTATATTGGAGATTCAAGAGCATTTTCTTCGGTTTTGATCCATACAACCCCAGCCTTCCACATCGTACCATAGACATGCCAAAGGGTTTTCATGCCAGAAACTGTAAACATGCCCAAGGAGTGTGTAACGGGCATCTCATGTTTGCCCAATTTGGGGGTTACACTCTCACCATTTGGGAACTCAATGACAACTACAGTAGTGATAGGGTTGAATGGTCGGTGGTGCACAAGCTTTGGCTAAAAGTACAATCCCTTCTTTCCCCTTTGACAGTAGTAGCTTTTCACCCCTTTGACAGAGATATTCTATATCTCTGGTCACCGGGTTGTATTATGGAGTACAACATGCGGAGGAGCAAAAAATTTGAAACAGTCTGTAAAATTGCACATTCCCGTGCCACCAAGTTTCTGCACCATTTGGTCTCCCTCTTTGTGCTCCCACGGTGGCCTACTTCAGTTCCTGCACTTCCGCAGTAATTGTCTTCCATCCTCTCTATGTTTATATGGTCTATTTTATAAATTGATTCATTTTTTTAACAAGTGTATGATTTAGTTCTCCCAATCAATATTGTTGCAATTACTCTGATGAAAATTCTATTTACTTATTTATTCTATTTTGCATTATGTTTTGGGTAACACCTTTATTACAATGCTATATTTGATGCCCGGGTCTGTGTTGTAAGTTCCTGCATTCATGGCAGCAACCCCTTTTGTTACTTGAACTGTGTCTATAAATTTGGCTATGAGCTTAACTTCCTAGTGGCCTTCCTGACCTCCAGCGAGGCTTTTGGTGTTGGCACTTGCACAGTTGCACCATGCCGGCATAGTGAGACCATAAATGTGACAAATTTTAAATTCATATGCGCGTCTATATAGATAAACATACATATACATACATACATATGTATATATATATAAAGATAAGATTTTAAAACATGTTATTAATATTAAATAAGTGAGATAAAGGCTAACCCTGTAAACAAACAAGGTTGTAGCCTCAAAACCCTGACAAACTCACGATAAGTGTCAAAATCATTTTCAGCGTCAGTTTCCCCAAGTTCCTGCATTCACCCTAGTATCTTCATGTTCTAATCAGCTACCCGTGTTTTTATACAGTTAATCATTTAATATATTTACAAGAAACAAATTTCCTGCAGGAGTCTTGGACAGAGAAGCTTGAAGGTGGAAAGTATCAAGTAGGAGCACCTGATCTGGCAAGTCAATCATGCCTCGCCTCCATATTCACTTGTATGCATATATATTTAAAATTTGCAATGAGAAATCTCTATATAATATATATATATATATATATAAAAGAAATCTCTATATAGTATTTTTATCCTTTATCTCCCCAATTATATATAAAATATAGTATGCATTTTTAGGATCTGCAAAATGTTTTTTTCCTTGTACCTTTGTGATGGAACTAACATACATATATTTATTCTCTTATATGTATTAGTTTGAAGATAATTAGGCAATGGCTGTCGAATATATGGGATTATATTGCGTACTGTTGGATGAAGAAACATGGATTACCCACAATGTGAATATAGATAGGTATATATATGTATTTGTATTGATGAATAAATACACACACTCAAATATGATTGAATGTATATATACACATACCACTTAATATAAAGAGCACGTGGATCCTTAATTTTCTTTTTTGGTAAGTTGAGAAGTGGCCACGCTCCCCAGCCACACCACTTAATATTAAGAGCACTGGGATCCTTAATTCACCAACAGTATTTTAGACGAATGTAATTGTTGATATGGACAGAGGATAATGTATAACGTTTGTGCTCTATTCAGTAGGAAAGAAGAAAAAAAATTGTATGGAAGGGAGAAAAGAAGGGATGGATGAGACATCCTAGGAAAGACATTGTATATTTCCTTCTTTTTATTCGGTTAGATAGAAGAGAAGAAAATAAGTTCGTATTTATTATGTTCCTTAAGAGAGAAGGAAAAAAGAAGTTTTAATTATTTTTGCCATTATATCCAATAATCTTTATAATATTGTATTATATATATATTATTTTATAAGTAAGATTTTATAAAAGGCGCTCAAAAGGGGAGCGCTCCCAAAGAAGACAATAGCCATCCAAGACAACACTATAGCTTTAAGCTATCCACAAAATCCAAAAGAGAATCCATTGAATTATAGTTCCGCCCATTTACTCAAAAGAATAAAGAAGTAAGAATATTGTATTTAATAGCCCAAATGGGAGTATCATATTTCTCTCACGCCACAAGGCCCACCAAATACAAAAAGAGTGGACCTTCAAGCATCTTTAACTCGGCTCTCCACTGTACACCTTTCCAAGTCTCTAACAAGTCTACCGTGGAATCTGAGAACACCCATGGAAGACCAAAAGCACCCCAAAACATATACCAAACATCCCAAGCCTCCGAGCAATGAATAAGAACATGGTTGACATATTCACCCGTTATCTTGCACAAACAACACTTGTTAACCACTAACATGACTCCTTTTTCTAAGATTATCAATAGTTAGGAGCTTTCGACCTCCAAATGGCTTTCCAAGGAAAAATGGGGCCCAGGTGCTCCAACATACAATTGTAGAATGACTTGACTTCGAAAACCCCTCTTGAGGTACCCACCCACAGCATCTCATTCATGCCCACCCCGACCCCCACCTGGCTATGAATGAAGGCTAGGAAGTCTAAAACTTCCAAAAGTTCCCAATCATGGAACTGTCGATGAAACTGCACATCCCAAGTCTCCCTCCCATTATTGAGACGATAATAGTCAGCAACCACAGCATCTCTAAACACAACAATCTGGTAAAGATGCGGCAATTTGAAGGCTAAAACCAAATTCCCACACTATCTGTCTTCCCAAAACCTAACATACCTTTCGCTTCTAACCTTGGATCGAATGCATTTAGAGAATACATCCCACCCTCTACGTATTAGCTTCCAGGAGCCCATTCCTGCTGGGGTTCTAGCCTTGTTTGAGTGCCATCCTCCCTCTCCCTCCCCCTCCCCATAATGACAAGCGATAACGCACCTCCAAAGCTTGGTCCTCTCTGTTCCAAACTTCCACAATCACTTGTCCAACAATGCCTTACTAAACACATCTAACCTTCAAATACCCAAACCCCCCTTATTAATAGGGGAACAATATTGCTTCTTCCAACCTGCAACCTGCAACCTGCAAGCCTCTTCTCGAACCTCTCAACAATCGGATCCCACACAGCAACTCTCTTTTGACGAGACTCCCAAAGGGAGTCTTAAGTAGGAGATCGGGAGAGAGCCAGCACCATACCCCAGAGTATCAGCCAAGGCATGAACATCCTCCACCTCACCGACTGGGACAAATCTCACTTTCCTAATGTTGATCTTTAACCTGGAAACAACTTGAAAGCAGGCCAACACACACCGTAAATACCTCAACTGAAGGAGGCTAGCATCACAAAAGACAATAATGTCATCCGCAAAGAGCAGGAGGGAGATGACTAACTGATTTGGAACTCTACATCAGAGTTAGACCTGGCATCATGCGAAGCACCCGATCCAAATGCATCGCTTCAAAACAACTTGAACAAACAAAAATTTAGTTGTGGACCATGACTTTTAAGTTACTTTCTTATATGTTTCATGTAGAATTTTTTTTTTTTTCTTTCTTTGTTTCATTTTCATTGTTAATGAATGAAATTTGTCTTTGCATCGAAAACTTTAACTATTTTTATTTAGATTCTTCAAATAAAAATTAATTGGTAATTAGTTTAAATCAAATGAGTAAGAAATTGCTCATTTTATAATATGGATTTTTACATTTTTTTAACAAGATGTAAATTCATGATTTGCATGTACTGTGGGAAAAGCCTTGTACACTAAGCTAACCCTTTAACTCGATAGAACGTAAGTACACAAGTATGCTTTATTTAGAGCTTTTTCTCGCCTTGTTAAATATTTTGATCCTTTATTTAAAAATATATATATAGTGAAAGGGCACCTGCTTTGCTATGGGCCTTTTTGGGGTTTCAAGTTTGGGCCTTATATGCTCTCGTTTGGTTGGACCTATTAAGGATCCTTTAATGATTTTACGCCTTGTACCAAGGTTGGTCCAGATAGAGGCCCAATATTTACATTTTCTTTCCTCCATACAATTGCTTTATTTATTTATTTCTTATAATTAAATTTGTTTTTTTTTTTTTAAGAAAAAGAAAAAAAAGAAGAAGATATGAAGTGTCTAGTGGTTAGAGAAAGAGAGAATCAATTGGAGGTTAAAGATAAGTGTGGTGTGGGGCAGTTTTAGAATTCTAAAAATCTATACAAAAAAATGAAAATATAAAAGAGAAGTTTAAAAATTTTCTATAGATATAAAATGAAAATAAAAAAAGTTTGAGAGTGGGAGCCTCAGTGGGCAAAGAGGAGTGAATTGGAAAAGGTGTCCATTTTTCCTCACTGTCCGTTCAAATGTTACTTTTAATAATCTAATATCCACATGAGTGATAATTTATTCGTTTTAGGCCCCTTTGTTTCCGCATAAAATGTTCAGTTAATTTTTTTATTCTATTTTATGTAAAAAAATTTATATATAAAATGTTTTTTTCTTTTTATTTTCTGAGAAAAAAAGTTCTTGTGTTTGCCTTTGTTTTAAAAGTGAACTAAATCCTTTGGAAAACCAATATACAAAGCTATTAGAGATGCATTCCTATCATTTAAAAAAAAAATAGAATCTGAACCTAAAAAGGTACTGAAACATTATATTTTACAATGTAATTCAATAAAAATAATATTTTAGTAAATTTTAGTTACTTTTTATTGAAGTTTTGAAGACCACTTAGCATAGGAATTGATATTTATAAATCTTAAGTTGTTGTGTTTAATTAAAGAAATAATGACACTTACCTTCCTTGTACATTGCTTAAGTAATAAAAATCTTTCTTATGATTTTAATTATGACACTGACATATTTCGGTGTTAGACTTTGACTTAAAAATGTTAAATTATTGTTATACCTATTGTAGTAGTTATTATTTTTATTGCAAAATATCTATTTTTTTTTTATAAACAAAGTAATATTATTGAACTTTTTAAGGTATGTTTGAATTTTAAGTAAATGTTAAATATGACATTAGCAGACTACATTTTTGATTTTATGAATGAGGACTGAGGAGTATGTAATGTGCAGAAGACATAATATATATGTAATTATCCCTCGTTTAAAAGGCTTACCACTTACAAAAAAAATTTTCAAAGGAATGAAATAATATTAGATTTAACTATTAAATAAATGAAAATTTATGTGTGTAACATTGGAGGGGAGGGAAAAATTAATAGAGAGTGAAAACTAATTTTTTATTTTTATTTTTATCATTCTAAAAAATTGTTAATGTCCTTATGTGGCAAGTGACTAGTAACAACCCTGCACTGCCTGTTGATTACTGCATCCGAAAATGAAAATGTGTAAATATAGAACAATACATATCTAACTAATACCCACTTTTACAATAGAGAGATGGGCCTCTTTGGTTCAGCTGTTGGGAATGGATAATAGAAAAATTGTATTTATAGAATTATATAAAAGAGAGTTCTCGAAAAACTCATCCTTTTGAACTGAATTTTCAGTTAACAGTCTTAAAAAAACTGCAATCAAACAAATTTTTATATATATATATTTTATTTTCGGTGCTTTTTTATAGAAAAATGTTCTAAAAAATATAACCAAATAGATCCAAAGATTTTCTTTTATGCATATAGCTACTATGCTTTCAACTAAAGCAGTTCTCTTGTAAGGAGGAGAAGGCCTCAAACAGAAGGACTGCCATAGCAGCAGACTGTGTGTCACTCCCCCTACGTAATTGTGTAAGGAGATTACGTCGTGCAAGTGACACGTGTGCGATGAGGAGGTGTGGCATTCTAGGTCTTCCAAAATTGTGTTTAGTGTTAGTGGAATATTGCAGGGAGAGTTGTAAATATCTAGAATGTTGGAAAGCTTGCATGTATTTGTGTTGTAAAATACTTTAAAATTGTGGAGAATTTTTTACAGTTATAAATATCTAGTATGTGTAGGAAGTTCTAGAGAGTGGTCCAGGTGTAAATCACAGTGAGAAACTCCAATAGTGAGTGCGTGAGAGACTCTAGGTATTGTTGTCATTAGTTGTTTGGCAGGGGGTATCTAGAGCCGTGAAGAAACTCTAGACCAGTGACATACTCTTTCTTTAAAGAGTTTCTGAAGAATTTAATCAAATGGGACATCAAATTTGTTATTCCTAAATATGTTGTGTTTCTATGTTTGTTGAAATCTTGATCGGATATCTTTAATTTGTTAATGGATTTTAGTTTCTGATAAATTTGTACGACAATGTTCTTCGACTAATGGATTTATCGGAAACAATGTTTAGGTTGTGAGATACTCTTTTAAATGAAAGGATCTAGGGTTAAGGATATATCATTGTTTTTAACCAAGCACTGCTACGTACCTACAAACACGTACAGAGCAACACACGCATCTCTGTCCCAATTTATTAGAAGTCAAAGAAAGCTGTAAAGCTGTTGATCATCAGGTTAGACTGGCTCTTTCTATTGATCAATATTGAAAATGTTATAATCTGTAATATTAATACAATTAGGCTTGTTTGGAATGCACTTTGTTTTAAATGTTTTGTTTTTGGCTAAAACAGAAATGTTGTTTTTGTTGTAAGAGTGTTTTGAAAAAAAATCAGAACTACGGTTTAGGAACGATATTTTGTTATGGAAATGTCGAAAGCAGAAACATACACAGTTATGACTTTGGGTCATAAACAGTTGTCAAAATAAGGAAAAAAAATTTTTTTGGTATTTTAGTTTTGGATCACTGTTTACGAAGAGTTTTATCACTGTGTAAAATAAAATAAGACCGCACCAAACATGCTTTTATTACCAAAATCAACATTGTAAGTAGTAACTAAAACAAAAACAGTAGAAACAAAATACATGCCAAACAGGGGCCTAGTTGAGGCTCGAACCTCGAATAGAAGAAGATTATGTAAGTATTTACTCGAAATCATAATAATTCGAAAGACAATTTTTTTTTTTTTTTTTTTTTTTTGGAGAATTCAACATGATAAATCTGATCCATGCAAGTGAGTTTTCAAGAGACTACTCGTTTTTTTTTTTTTGGAGAATTCAACATGATAAATCTGATCCATGCAAGTGAGTTTTCAAGAGACTACTCGAGTGGTAATAATATCATGAAAAAAATGGATACAAATTTTGACTGCTACTTACTATTAGGTTTGAAATATTATCTAAAAATATCAAATTTAGAACTTTATAACATGTCAGAGTAAAGTAACCATGGCATATATGTTTGGACATGGAAAGTTATTGTAGATTGTTTCTTAATTCCTAAATTGCCTTCCACACTCTTTGCTCTGGCAACCGCCGAAAAAGGCTTCATACTCAATCAATTGTGTACCATCTTCATGAAATTAACTGCAAATCTCCATACTCAATCCCATTGTGTACCATCTTCAAGAAATTACCAGACCCTCCTTCACCAATACAGGTCACACACGGATAAGCTTGGTACGAGCCTCCAGGCATCAAAGAAGGTCCGTGACGAGCACCCTCTTCGCCGCCGAAAATGCCCATCCCGAGATAAAGAATACCCTTATCGGCGACCTCAAGGATCCGTCTCTCGGTGTTTTCGTACCACTCGTTGCCACCGTTGATGATGGTGTCTCTGGCATCCATGTGCTCGGATAGGGCGGCGATGGTTTGGTCGATGGGTGAGCCCGCCTTGACGAGGATGATGACCGATCTAGGTTTTTGGAGCGAGAGGACGAAGTTGCGTGGAGTTTAGTGGCCGGCCAAGGGGAGGTTGCCTTCATGATGGGTTTGATCTAAGGTTTCATCGACCTTGGAGATGGTTTGATTGAAGACGGAGATAGGGAAGCCTTTTTTGGTGGTTGCCTTCGCAAAGAGTGTGGAGGGCAGTTTAGGAATCAAAAGACAATCTACAGTAACTTTCCATCTCCAAGTCAGTATTTGAAAAAATTCCATTAATTTAGAAAAATTAAGTTTGACTAGACTTTTTGACATTTGACTACCAAAATACCATTTTTATGTAATTATTCCTTTAAAAAAAATAAAAAAATTTGTGAAAGGGTACCTGCTTTTCTACGGGCCTTTTTTGGGGTTTCAAGTTTGGGCCTTATTTGCTCTCGTTTGGTTGGACCTATTAAGGATCCTTTTATAATTTCACGCTTTGTAATGCCTACTTCACATGGACCAAGGTTGGACCTGAAACAGGCCCAATATGTACATTTTCTTTCTTTTATACATTGCTTTATTTATTTATTATAATTAAATTTGTTTTTTTTTAAACAGAAGAAGAAGAAGAAGATATGAAGTGTCTAGTGATTAGAGAAAGATAGAATCTAATATCCACATTAGTGATAATTTATAAAAATTCGTTTTAGGCTCCTTTGTTTCCACGTAAAATGTTTTCGTAATTTTTTTTTTATGTAAAACTTTTTACATAAAAAATGTTTCCTTTTTTGGATTTTTTAAAATTATTATTATTATAATTATTTTTTATTTTTTGTGTTTGGCTTCTAATAATGTTTTAAAAGTGAACTAAAATCCTTTGGAAAACCAATATACAAAATCTATTAGAGATGCATTCCTATCATTTTAAAAAATATAGAAACTGAACCTTAAAAGTACTGAAACATTATATTTTACAATGTAATTCAATAAAAATAACTTTTTAGTAAATTTTAGTTACTTTTTTATTGAAGTTTTGAAGACCACTTAACATAAGAATTGATATTTATAAATCTTAAGTTGATGCGTTTAATTAAAAAAATAACGACACTCATCTCCCTTGTAGATTGGTCAAGTAATAAAAATCTTTCTTGTGATTTTAATTATAAACCCGACATATTCCGATATTAGACTTTGTCTTAAAAATGTTAAATTATTATTATTCCTATTGTAGTAGTTATTATTTTTATTGTAAACTATCTAATTTTTTTTTTAAACAAAATAATATTTTTACACTTTTTAAGGGTATGCTTCAATTTTAAGAAAATGTTGAATATGACATTAGTAGACTACATTTTTGGATTTTATGAATGAGAACCGAGGAGTATGTAATGTACAGGAGATATAATATGTAATTATCCCACATTTAAAAGGCTTACCAGTTACAAATTTTTTTTTTCTTTTTTCAAAGGAATGAAATAGTATTAGATTTAACTATTAAATAAATGAAAATTTATGTGTAACATTTGAGGGGAGGGAAAAATTAATACAAAGTGAAAAGTAATTTTTTATTTTTATTTTTATAATACTAAAAAATTGTTAATGTCCTCTATGCCACGTGAACCATAACATGAACCGTAACAACCCTGCACTGCTGTGCCCGTAAAATGCTTTACATTTCGGCTCCGTTTGTTTGGACAGAAAATATTTATTTTTTATTTTTTGGTACTTAGTTGTCATAAAATATTTACGAAGAAAAAAAAAATTTAAAATTTAACAAAAATAACTTATCCATCAATTTTCGACAAATTATTTTACATGTTTTTAACCCACTCCCACTCGACCTCAACCTACGGACAAAGTAAAAATAAAAAAATATTTTACCTGAAAAAGAAAAATATTTTCCAAAAAGAATATTTTACGTCGAAACAAAACGGAGTCTTCATCACAAAGTTTCCCCTCTCAGTCTCTCACACACAACACACGCTCTCTCTCTCTCTCTCTCAATTTTGCCCTTGTTATTTGAAAACAAAAAAAATAATGCCAAAACCATCATTATCACCACCACGAGGATGACGACCACCGTACGGTGGTTCTCTGTATGTGACTGATCTCGACCCATAGGTGAGATAGGAAGAGCTTTGGCAAGAGGTTGTTGTTATGGGTCCGATATGCTCTGTTCGTTTGTTCAGGAAGAGAAAATGGGTATCGGATCGAGTAGTGAGGGGGAAGTTCTTCGTTCCCGTCTTGTTGGCGCTGTCTACACACAATCTTCACCGCATAGAGGAGTCTTTGTCTTCTTTTTCTTTTTCACAAATAAAATTAGGGTTTAGAGAAATGAAAAAGAAGAGAGCCCAAGTAGATCATATTACAACCATTGCTTTAGAATTTCACGAACTAAAAGTGACCAAAGATTCTTGTAACTAAAAGAATTAGACACTATGTTCAATGGTACGTCTTCAACTCTAAATTTCCCTCAATTCTAAGTGCTTTGACTTAATTTGAGTGCATAAACATACTATCAGCATCATCCGTCGTAGTCAACATTGACATCAACATCCTCATAACGTTGACATTAACATCCTCATCTAGAATCACGTAATTCTCTTGCATAGATATACATTTTAATAAGATAAATTGAAAAGAGACTTCCTATCATAATTGGTCATTTTAAAACCAACATTACTGCTCCAACGGTAACGGTAAGGGGATTTATATAATTCAATTAGCTAGGCAAAAAAAACATACCTATTTTCTTTTTGCCAACTCCACCCATTCCCATCAACACTCTTCTTTCAGATAAGAAACCTATATTATTAGGAGAGAGGAAAGATTTTAAAAGTGTTCATAAACTTGTAAAACATATATTCTGAAATTGAAAACTAAATTACCAAGTTTTTAATTCCCATTAATAAATTGTTCGAGCATCACATCATAATAATATTATATATATGTATGTAGAAACAAAAACAAAAACATAAACAAAAAATCAGTATGTAAAACATGAATAAATAAACGTAACCAATAGCTAAAAAATTAAAAATGCGAATTAAAATTTTAGAAAAAGTAAGAGTTTGTTACCTGATGAGTAAGGAGGCATGTTTCTTGAACCTTGTTCTTTCTAAATGTTAATGCTCAATACTAACCCTAAAAATAAGAAAACACTCAAGTTGTGAGGAAAAGGTTTCACAATCTCACTCATAACAATTAAAACACCCCCATCTAAGTACTATATGTATCATATATCAACCCAACTCAACTATGCTTTCACTTAAAATGTTAGACACCTATTCGTAGAAAGAGGTGTGATTACGGATAGGTGTGATTAGCACATATTATACTCAGTTCTTATGTTGAATTAATCCAATAACAAAGTACAATGCATCAGTTTAGGAATAATCTTCAAAATTAACAAATCAATATCCTAATATTCTGCATTCTGATAAGAAAATAAAATAAAAAACCAAAATTTAAAAATAAAAATATGACAGATAGATTGAATATATCCTTCGTGCATTACAGAGATTGTATTTCTACGTGAAACAAAAAATCCACGATTTATCAATGGGGTGAGCTAAATCAAAATACATCAACCAAAATCAAATGTCCTTTAATTCAATTTTAGTTAACTAACAATGTTTCTCAGGCATAGAAAATCCTATTTGAGTGATTAATAAAAAAAATTACCAATTTATTTCTGAACAATTCACCACTCAGTACCCTATCTCTTCTTTTAACCAATTTACTAATCCTATTTGAGAATCTACAAGTGGAAGCAGAGTGTGAGGTAGTTCATGGCAAGCCCCTTCCAACGATATGGAATTCACTCAAAAGCATGTTTTTTTGTAAGTATTTTAATTTTCAAGAAGTAACTTTAGAGCTTTACCCGATTTTAAGTACTTTTGCTTGTCAAAGTTCTCGTTATGATTTTTTTTTTTTTTTTTAGTTCTGAAAAGATTTCCATCTTCAAAAAGCTTGGCATGTTGATAAAAATTGTTTCAGATTCAATCTATGCAGATTTCTAATCCAATTCAGATTTTTTTTTTTTTTTTTTTTTTACATGCCCAGATTTTCTTGTAGACATAATTGCCAAAAATAAAATAAAAATAAAAATAAAAATAGAAGTTATAGAAATAATTAAAAAAAAAATTTCTTTTGCTGAAATAAAATGTAGATTACGATGGTTACCTCAATATGCAATGCATATTTTGCTAATTTATATTGTAAAAAATATATATATATACATATATATATTTAAAAAAGATGATAACCAATTAGTCTTTCAAATCCTGCAAAGGGAGATCCTGTTTCAGTCATTATCTTCACAAATATTTATAAATAAAATTCACAAAATAAAATAAAAAATTTATATAAAAAAGATGATAAAAAATTTCACCAAATAGAATTTAGTTTGCAAAATAAGAATTACAGAGATAGATTAGTTGATTTAGAAAAAAAAATTAAAACAAAACCCATACATACAAGTTAGCAGTTGCAGAGAGAGAGAAAGGGGCAAGCTTGAGAGTTGAGAGACAGCGGCCTAAGCTTGCGAACGGCGAACCCGAACTGGAACAGCGGGCGATGGAAACTGAAAGATATGGGTTTCCGATATGGGTTTTGCACTTTTAATTCTTGCAGACAGATAGATAAACTGAAATATATGGGTTTTGAACTTCTGATTCTTGTAGATTTTGTAGTTTACAGTTGCAGAGAGAGAGAGAGAGGGGGGGGCGGGGGTCAAGATCAGAGTTGAGAACGCGAATAGAGATGGAGGCAATTGAGGAGGCTGATATGATTTGCCCTAAAAAAAATATGTTGTTCTTTGGTGACCCATCATCCATGGGCCTATAAATTTTGAGGCCCTTGGCGACCACCTTTGTGGCCTTGGGTCCGGCCCTGGCCTTCTTTGGCTTAGAGTTTTATTTTAATATGGTAGGCTTGTTAACTGGGTTAACTTGGACTTGATTAGGTAGACTAATTTTATTAATATTTTTTTTTGGACTAAGTTAAAATTAGTATAGTAAAAATATTAAAAATAATGACACTTACGTATATTGTTTAAGTAATAAAAATCTTTCTTATGATTTTAATTATAACACTGACATATTTCGGTGTTAGTCGTTGACTTAAAAATGTTAAATTATTGTTATACCTATTATAGTAGTTATTATTTTTAATGGAAAATATCTATTTTTTTTTATTTATAAACAAAGTAATATTTTTAAACTTTTTAAGTGTATGTTTGAATTTTAAGTAAATGTTAAATATGACAGTAGACTACATTTTTCGATTTTATGAATGAGGACTGAGGAGTATGTAATGTACAGGAGAGATAATATGTAATTATCCCTCATTTAAAAGGCTTACCAGTTACAATTTTTTTTTTTTAAAGGAATGAAATAATATTAAATTTAACTATTAAATAAATGAAAATTTATGGGTGCAACATTTGAGGGGAGGGAAAAATCAATACAGAGTGAAAACTAATTTTTATTTTTATTTTTATAATACTAAAAAAATGTTAATGTCCTGTGCCACGTGAACATTAACAACTCTGCATTGCCTGTTAACAATGACACGGCTTAATATTGGTTTTTCACACTTACATCGTTGTTGGGGAAATAACCTCAAATTGATTGTGTGTGTGACTGCACATCCCTCGTTCTTACCATTTGCAAAAGTTTCAAACTATATACATATATTCTTTAATTGTACAAAATGAACTAAACAACCATACGTGGACAATGTTGATTACTGCAATACCCACTTTTCCAATAGAGAGATGGACCTCTTTGGTTCAGTTTTTGAGAATGGAGGATAACATAAAAGTTGTATTTATAGAACTATAGAAAAGAGTTCTTGAAAAATTTGTCATTTTGAACTGAATTTTCAGTTAACAGTCTTTTAAAAACTGCAATTAAACAAATTTCTATACATTTTTTTTTAATTTTTTGCCCCTCGTTTATAGAAAAACGTTCTCAAAAACTGAACCAAATAAATCCAAAGATTTTCTTTTATGCAAATAGCTACTATGCTTTCAACTAAAGCAGTTTTTCTCTTGTAAGGAGGAGAAGGCCACTAAGGCCAGACTTCCTTCACGTGGCCTTCTTTTGTTCTAGTTTGTTTCAATTTTGATTATTAAGGTGATAGTGAAATTTGAACTAAAAAGATTTTGGGTAAAGTACAAAGACACCCCCTAAGGTTTGGGGAAAGGCCAAACAGAGGAAAGTTGGCTTATTTTTGGACAAACACACTCCTTGTGAAATTTTCCCTCCAAACAGAGCCTTAAATCATGTGAAAAGTCCATTTTACCCTTCACTATTTTATTAATTTTAATTATAAAATATTAAAAACTTAAATGACCAAATTACCTTTTTCATCTCTCTCTGTATATACTTTTTTACACACACACACACCCCAACGACCAGTCACCATCGCCCCCAACCTCCATAATCACCAACCCCTAACCTCCATAATCACCACCCATTAAAGAAGACACCGAAGAGGAGCTCTGCCACCGCCACCTCCTCGACCTCACCGAAGCTCAGCCTCGATTTGGGCGGCGAACTCGGCCTCGGAGAAGCCGGGTTTGACTTGGATTGACAGAGACGTTCCCCACGCTAGCGTCTTTGATTCTTGACAGCGGCAGATAGTTGATGTTTAAGCCTGCAGCGAAGATTTAAGGATGAGATTGGTGCCGCCGCCGCCGCTGCCACCACCCTTTTCCCTTCTCTCTCTATACACACGCGAACACACACACACACACACACACACACACACACACACACACACACACACACACACATATATATATATCACTCCCTTATTTGCGCCATCACCATCCCCAATTCTTATTTGTGCGCGGAAAAGGGCTCTAATCGGATAGTAGAGGCGATGGTCACTTCAGCCTCCTCAGCCTTGCAGGTGACAGTCGCCGGACTGTGTTCATCTGAACCTTGTCGTCATCAGAGCTTGGTCCTCGCCAGATTGTTTCTGCTCGTCAGTCTCTTGTTGCTCGTTTTCTAAACCTCGCCATACTGTTCAGTTTATGGCCTCATCGTCATCGGAGCTTGGTCCTTACCGACAATTTCAGGGTTTCGCCGATGCTTCTGGGTTTCGCAGCCACTGTCGCAATCATCGCCGATGCTTCTGGGTTTCTTCTTCATCCTTGAGTCACCTCCGGTAGCACTATTACTCTGTCATTTCAACAAATCTAGGGTTCTTTTGGAGTTCAAATTCGCGGGCTGAAACTCATGCCTATCCGGCATACCATTCGTAACAAATCTACGGTTCCTTTACAGCTGTCACCGCTTCTGTCACAGTCTCTCTCCTCTGGTGAACTGTATAATATACACACAAGCGGGTTCAGATTCGGGTTTGGGTTTGGGTTTAATCAAAGGGTATTTAAGTCAATTAAAATGGTAATTTTATTTCAAAGGGTAATAAGGTCAATTCACTATCTTCAGGGTCTCTTTGTCCATTTTTCAAACTTAAAGGGGTGTCATTGTCCAAAAATAGGCCAACTTTCCTCTGCTTGGCCTTTCCCTAAACCTCAAGGGTGTCTGTGTAGTCTACCCAAAGGTTTTTTTACTGCTTTCAATTATCTTACAAGAAGGAAAAGAATACCAAGGCTATATTGAATGCAGAATATATGCAATCTATTATGCTATTCTCTTTGCTCATTGTTTTGTTCACAGAAGAAGTAAGTTAGGATTTAATTGACCTTCCCTTCTCTTTTCTGTTTAATTCCTTTATATGTGTGTCATATTTTTGAACTTTTCATTATTCAAGAGAGAAACACTCGTACTATAACAATTAAGACTTTTCACAGGGGAGTCCTCTAGTCAGATGAATACTTGTTGAAACTAGAAATATAAACTTAATTGGAACCCAATAAAGCAAGTTTCATTTACGATTAGTCTCTTAATGGTTGTTTCATGATCTATGTTACTTCTACAAACTCATGATCTATGCTACTTCTACGAACTCTTCATCCAAACAAAAATATATCAGAAAAACAAAACCATAACAAAAAAAAAGAAAAAAGAAAAGGGAATAAAACATATTGTGGGTAAAATCAAGATAATTAATTCAAGAATCTGTGATATGGGTGTCGTAAATTAATATGGAAATTTTGAGAATTAGAACTAAATCATTTGCTTTGTTCTGTTTTGTCTTGATTCAACTACTTGTCTTTTTTTAATCAGCTGCAAAGGCTTCAAATTCTACTAAAATCATGGGGAAATAAATGTCAGTCATGTGGTGTGAGAAAGATGCTACAACAAGAATGATTGGTTTTTCCAGAATTATATTAGTGATCGTTGAAGCATTAATAAGCTACGATCAATTAGCGTGCCTATGTAGTAGCTTCGGGACGGTTCTACGTACCAAAATTGGTGAAAAAGTTGAGAAGCAAACTTATTTTCGCTTTGCAGTAGTACTATTTGATGAAGGGAAATCTGCCCTTAAGGCTATTCATGATCTTCATGGGATGAAGTTCAACAGCAAAAAATTGTAATTTCTCAACCTTAGTAGTTTGATCTTTTGTTTTCGAATGGGAATCTCAACTCTTTTTTTTTTTTTTTTTGGGCAGTTTTGCTTCCAAATTTGTGAATGAGGGCTGGAAAAAAAGGAACTCAAAGTACAAGTTTGTCCATGGGCACAATGAATTGTCAGTGTGCTCATATGTCTATGTAAAGCATCTAAATAAATCAGTAGATGATTTGAAGTTGTTTCAGCTTTTTAGTGATTGGGAAGGGATTCTATCAGCAAAGAAAAAATATAGTACTAGCGGGAAGAGTAAAGGATTCAGATTTATGGGGTTTTACAGTCACGAAGCAGCGAAAGAAGTATGTTATGGTGAACATTTTTCAGGCTGTTGTTTTAAAATTCATTTCATTGAGTTTTTACATATTTTATAGGAGGTGAAATGTTGGAAACAGGGCTTGCAAAACAGAAACCTTGGCTGAAAATTAGAGTAGGTTCCACTAATAATTTTTTGCAAATCTATGGACGAACGCGTTCCTTTCCGAATGGAAATAAACATGGTATATTTACTTTCTCAAATTCGTTCTGGGTGAATGAGAAATTATCTCCAAACTAAGGTGTTTGATAAGCTTAAATAGGTATGCAAAATGTGGGAAGTACTTGTCCCACATTGAAAATAAAATGCAACCAATTAGAGTTTAAATAAGCTAAGTTTGGGATTTGGGTTTGGCCCAAGGGCACCCAAGTTTTTAAGATGGGAAGGACCTAGGCAAGCTTGGGTCCAAACTATTTACCACACGTGTGCGCGTCCCGAGGATTCGAATTTGTATGATTTTGCAGTCACGAAGCAACGAATGAAGCATGTTATGGTGAGCATTTTTCACACTGTTGTTTAATAATTTGTTATTTTAAAATTCATTTCATTGAGTTCTTATATGTTTTACAGGAGGTGATATATTAGAAACGAGGCTTACAAAACAGAAACTTTGGAAGAAATTTAGAGTAAGTTCCGCTAAGAATTTTTTCGCGGATCTATAGACGAACGCGTTCTTCTTCGCAAAGAGAGATGAACGTGGTGTATTTACTTTCTCAAATCCATTTCCAAGTGAATGAGAAATTAGCTCCAAAGTAAGGTGTTTGATAAGCTTAAATGGGTATGCAAAATATGGGAAGTACTTATCCCAAATTGAAAATAAGATTAAACCAATTGAAGTTCAAATAAGCCAAGTTTGGGATT